CTCTCTCTCTTCTTCTTCCCTCACGTTACCTCTTGCTCACTCCAGCCTCTCCCTCCCATACGCTTCTCATCTTTCTCTTTTTCGTCCTCCCTCTTCCCCTTTTTCTCAGCGTTCGACCACCAACGGCATGTCCGCAGGACTAACGCGTGTAATGTCCTGAGTATCGGCACGGGATGGAAGGATATATACCTTTTGTCCAGCATTTTCTCTTCAGCAGCATCCTCGCTGTCCGACTCGCGAATGGATGCACGCGAATTGTCCTGAACGTATTAGGTGTCATCGACGAACGGACCGGAGAGAAGCAGGACGACGACGAGGAACACCGGTCGGTCGCCGCGCCGCAAGAGCAGCGATGCGCAAGCGCGAATGCGCATAAACGGCGGATTGCGATTTGCGCCCGTCGTGGATACGCGCATTCGCGCTACGCGCCTCGATGCGAGTGTATCTGCTGTGCGGGCTCTCGTTCGCAACGCTCGTCCTCCGAGCTTTCGGATATTGAAATCAGATACCAACACGAAAGGGAAATGATCGGAAAGAAATCAGAATGTGAAGTATCAATTAACTTTGGAATTTATGAATTCATTTTTTTTTAATAAATCCATACGAACTACCTGTATATATTTGCATTGATAACATTTATACAATTAAAGTGAAATTTAGAAGAATAAATTAAATACGAAAAAAGAATTTTATTTTCGGTCAAAGTGGATTATTTTGATACTCAATAAATGTATTTTTTTGCAAATTTATATATGAATATTATCAAGCATTAAGAATCGTTTTGATTGAAAATAGAAGTCTTAAGATTCTTTACCCTTATTTCATTAAATTAATTTAATTTCTAATTTTTCTTTACTAATGTGATTCGATTACGTGTTGCCGAGAAGCAGAATAAATAAGTGACGTTAAAGTCTGTTTGGGAATTCGACGAAAAAATTGAACAATGACATCAGAAATTCAATTCGCTGACTCACTATCAATCCTTTACATCGATGAACATGAAGGTAAATTCGCAGCTGGACCAAAAAACGTTTCTCCAGTCCGTTCCGAGAAAAAAATTTTACGGTGAAATCTTCACCAAATCTTTACCTCCATTCATTCCCGTTGTGAGAAAAGACGTGCTTCTTTTTATCGATTTTTATATGGGATGCCTCGTATGTGTTACAGCGAAGTAACGTTATTTCCCTGAATCGTTCCCCCGAGTCTCCTTCCCGTGTGGTCGTTAAATCGACCGCATAAAGGTTGATAAAATCCACAGAAACGCAGTCACGTTCTACGAAAGGATGACTTTAAAGATGATCTCATCAAGAATGTAATTAGAAAGATCGTATATGTAAAGCAATTTGCTACACGCGCTTATCTAATTGCAAATCGATGGTCTATTTATCAGATTTATTGATTACAAGATTGAGATACACACTGTACACATAATTACTATGCAAAGTTAGTCTAACGGCATGAAGCTATGTGCGTTTTATTTTCTTTTCAAAAAAAAACCTCGAAAAGTTATATTCTCCGATTTGATACAGCACGGCCTACAGTATATTTTATATAATTTATCTGATTATATCTTCCGTCCTTGCAAGATATTTGCGTCATATTCTTCCTCAAAAACATATAAAAATTCTGACCGAACGATCGTTAATTGTCTGTGTTTGCCGATAAACCTGAACAATATCCAGGAAGTTAACCGACACTGTCCCTCCTCTCAACCGCTATTCATACGTACGTTTGTACAGTGCATCGTCCATATTTACGATGGAGAGGAGTTCATCGGGTAGACGAGAGCAGCCGTAAAACATCGACCAGCGGAGCCTTGCACGATGTACTCGCGAGAGATATCCGAGACGATGTATCCACCTCGGCTCACCTTGGTTCACCTTGGCTCATCGAAAGCTAAGGGAGGGGAATTCGGTTCAGCGAACCGTGCGACGACGAAACTGGTACTCGCTAACTATCAGGATCTTTCTCTCACAAGATCGGTACCATTGACACTGACATAATAACTCACCGCGACCGTGTTTGTCGGAGTCACGACGTACGAATGAAATTGCCGCCGATGGTGTAATGCCTCTTGCATAAGCGGAGAGAGCAGAGATCGAGCAGTGTACCAGGGAAGAGAGAAAGTGATAGGGAGAAAGAGAGAGAGAGAGAGAGAGAGCGGACGGGCACAGAGCAGGGTGACGAGAGGAAAGAAAGTGAAATGAGAAAGAGAGAAAGACACTGTCGAGCACAGACAGTGAACTTGACCTGGATCTCGGTCAGGGAGAAAGAATGATCGTGGGCTTCTGTAGAAAGGAGAAAGGAGGCGGAGAAAGAGTGAGACTGAGGAAATTACTTTCGATTTCGAACTCTTGGAGATCGGTTACACTTTCTCCCTCATTCACCACCGCTCGGTGAGATCGTTTCTCCCCCTGATCTTTGTGATACACTTTTCGCGACCGCGTTTCGCGAAAACGTCAGGCAATCATTGCATCTTATCTGATGACATCGTAATGGGTCACGACAGTTAGAATGGCTGCTGCTCTATTCTGTTACTCTTAACGACAGTGGGTGCTTTCCATTTGATGACACAAGTCGACACAAGCGTCGTTCTATCCTTGTTGACATTCAGAGAGTGACAAAGATAGAACGACACTTGTGTCGACTTGTGTCATCAAATGGAAAGCACCCATTATCAATATCGTTACAGTGTCATTACGCAGATATTAGGGAGTTTTTGCAATACCGTTTATCCAAATACGGTGAACGCTAAGGCCGGATTATTTTCTTTTAACAACTACAGAAAAGGATAACGTGACTTTAGCGTTTACCGTATCTGGATTCACGTTATTGCAAAAACTCCCTATTTTATATGGTGAAAAATCTGCGCAACGACACATAACGATATCGACATGTCGTTAAAAGTTACAAAATAGGGCCCCTGAGCTCGGAAGTCATATACTATAATATACACATATATGTATAAAATATACATATAATTAAATAAATATACATAGATTTGACATTCGAGACATCATATCTTCTAATTTGAGAAAGATCGACGATTAATGAAAATACGCAAAACTTTTTATTATATCCTCGTTACTACAGTAATATGTATAAATTGTCATAGTAATTAAAAAAAATTTTAGAGATGTAATGTTGACTCGTTCGCAGGAAGCGTCTATCGACGATTTAGGACCATTCAGATGCAGATATCGCGATTGTTGTGCGCTTGACATGAAAGTACTACAGACGGGGATCATAAAATTCGAGTTCGATCGAGTCCGTGTATACGTAAACGATGAAATCAACTTGTCGCGAACATCACATTGATGGCAAGCATCGATTCTATTGCCATCAAAGTTACGACAAGACAAACCACTAACTCACATAGGAATTATCTAATAAAACTGAAAAGGATACCGTTCTTGTCATCGTGCCGCTAATCACGTTTGGACATAATGCGTAGGCTGCACTTAACACGATGTCGAAAACTCAGAGTGATGCAATATAGTGGTATACAACGGTACATGGTGACCAAACATATTCGGTTAAAATATATGTTCTTGAAACCCAATAATCTTACGACATTTATATATGTAAACTTTCATAGCATTACGTTTCAATAACCAGTAAATAAGAAACATTTTGAAACATTCCAGCAACATTGCAGCAACGTTTCAAAATGTTTCTTGTTTACTAGGATACAAATAAATGAAGAAGACCATATTTGGTGAAAGTGGATCTCGCTTAATATTTTTCTGTAAATTTTACAATTTTCAGTTCAAACAAACTTTTCGCTGATTATTTATTAATCTTAAAACTTGAAATACGGGAACAGGAAATTATAAAATTTGTACAAAAATATTATTAGGCACCAAAATACTACAATTGACTAAATACAACCTGCTTCGTTTATTTATGTTAATCATTTCTCAGTCAATTTTTTCTTACTATTGTTTATTAAGTTTTAAATATAATATATTGTAATATAATAAACTTTCACTCTATTAAACTCTTTAATTCTTTCCAAATATCTAGTTCTAAAGAAAAAAACAATAAATTAAAATATGTAAAATATCTAGCTCGAGATTGCTAAGCAAAAATTAGTAATTAAAAAGATCAACACGAGGAACGTTTATTGAATCTTTAAAAATAAACTAGTTTATTTTACAACATACATTAAGAATTAAACTAATTCTTTATCTATAAATTTCTCGGAAACGTTTCGATTAAGTCTTCTTCAGTTGACATATACGAAAAATAATTAAAAATTGGAAAAAAAATTGAAAACAATCCTTTTTTGGAGCAAAAATACTTCTACGTGAAACGTAATGAAGAGTGAAATATATTACAGATTCTCGATAAAAATAAGTAACTTTTCTTCTTGATTGTATTATGCATCTTATCTCAATCACTCCGTGCTCCACGGAGAAACCAGCCGCTCGCCGAGACGTATCTCCTGATATTACTCCGAGCGGTCAACAAGTCGACGAACGGCCTTGCGACATTTGCCGTGCGGCGAACTTGGCGACTCCGGTCGTCGGACGTTACGTATCGACATTGCGATTCACCGGCGAGATGTCGACACGATCCCGTTCCAGATGAGATTACAGAGCGACTCTCACGGACGGATAGGTCAGATATTACAACCGCGTAGTCAGCGCGAGTCCTCGAGTTGTGCCGACCGTGCGCACTCTCTTTCTTCGCCTTGCCCTGATCAAGGTTCTAAGGAGTCTCTTCCTGGCGAAAAGCA